CATTATATTATTTGCGGAACTTATGTTCAATGCTTTCGTATTTTCTCTTCTTAGCTTCAATGTTATTGTTTACTTGACTGGATAGTCTCCACTTATTTCTTAGATATACTTTTTGACTACCATATTTTAAGAATAATCGATATTAGATTTGCTTCCCTAAATATGTTTCTTCGGGATAGAAGGATATTTTTTATGTTGAAAAGTAATCAAAATTTAAAGAAAAGTAGTTCTGTGGTAGGATATCTGCTCAGAAATAAAACTGTCAAAAAAATTCTTAAGGTCAACATTTGCTTTTCATAGATTTGACTCTATGTGAAACCTTTTAGTAGAAGAACTTTCATTAGATTTTTAGTTTCTCAACATCATAATTTATAACAAATTTCCTTTTTGTATGTGATATATACAACAGAAGTAAAAGGTAGTGCTCTTCGTATTCCGTTTTTGCGGAAGGTTCGAAGAACTCGATTAATCGGATAGTAAACCAAGTTTCCGAAGTTGAAAAAACAATCGAATTTAATGTAAATCCAGAATCCTTGTATATCCTATTTGCGATTATTATTCGCAAATTGTATTATCTTCGTAGTAAGATAGTACAAGTCATACAAAATATCTTTAATATTTATAAGGTTTTACTAGTAGCTAACGTTTTTCAAAGAAATTCCATTTAATGTCGTAGTTTTAAAAAAAAAAAACTTTGTATGACATTTAAATGATAATAACAGGCTTATAACTATTTATTAATAATATAATTAACAAATATGTTACAATTATCATATACAAAATCTCTGTCAATATTATCTATTATCTATTAATTATTATCTATTATCTATTTGCATAAATAAGTACTGAATAAAGTTGATATTACATAAACGGATATGACCAGATTTATTTGAAGATTTGAAGACTTATTTTTATGAATGGTGAAGTACAGCTAATGAAATAAAAATAAAGTGTGTAGTGTACTTGAAGTAAACAAAAGTAAATTATATAAGTTATGTATCATATACATAGTATGTTATTCAATTTCTATAAAGTAATTTTGAAGTTATTGTAGAGAAATTCCAAAAAAAAAAGTTGTCAACTTTAATATGCAAACAAAAATCTCAATATTAATTGTATAATTTTTATCACAACCACTGGCATAAACTCATGTTCATAGATTCCTTGAAGCGTTTTAACTTTCTTTTGAAGAAGTTGACTTCACAGTCAGACGAGCAGAGTAGTTAGACAAGACGACACTTGTCATATAATATTGGCCTCTACAACTCGAAAGCGTATAATGATCAAAAACTTATGCATTACTCATATATTTTAACGCCAAAAATTTGTTATTAGTTCCCCTTGAGATTTTAAATGAAGTTCACTACGTTGAGTTACACCTACTTTAGTTAGGTTTCAATAATTGAATTAAATAAATAAATTGTCATATAAACTAAAGATAAAAAATATATCTTAATTACCATTACCATTAATTACATGTGCTCTGCTTAATAAATTTTTCATAGCATTTTAATATCGAAACTCAAAGACTAGATATAAAATGGAAAATGATTCTTGCTGTAACTGTAAAGAATATGCTTAAAGTCCTTTACATATTATGAACTTACTTTTTACAGCAACATAGTCATCTGCAGAACCTCTATTTGAAGAGCATATGAACTTCGAATTTTCAGCCAATAAGCTATAGAGTATTCCTAGAATAGGTCACCCTTATAACCTTACCTCATCTTATATCCGGTTATAGAATATAAGTAAACAGAATTTGAGTTAGCTGTAACCATAGTTGGACGTAGCAACATTGTATTTTAGCTTTATATGGTGTGGTTTACTCATTCAACTCACCTTGTTCCTTGTGTAATAAATTAAATGCTTTCTATTTTTATCTCATCTATTTTATACATATATATTGCATTGAGTTCATCAATTAACTTTTTTTATTAACCATATAATAAGTTTTCAAAATATACATTAAAATAAATAATCAAATTGTATTCGAAACTTTTAATCACTTATTTATAGAAAATTTTAATATAGTTATTAATGTTTATCTAGTGTCACTAACATATCTTAAAAATGTATTTAAAAGTGCATTAACCGCGGTTTATAATATTTTAGTTGGCGACTATAAATAGTTTGCTGTTTGCTTTATTAACTTTTAATTAGACTAACTAACCTTGGCAGACTCGTAAAGTCGGTTTTTAAAACCAAATGGAAAGTTGTAAAATAATGCATTTAATACATTAAAACGAACTATTAAAGAGATTCAATTACCTGATTAAGTAGTTTTAAAAAGAAAATATATAAATCATTGTTTTGATTGGATTGAATTGATAATTGGAGACCTAGATAAAGTAAAAGTGTCAGTCACTAGGTTTGTATTGTTAACATAAATTTTTTTTGTAATTTTGTTAATACAGTTTTAATTTTGTTAATTAAGCAGAAAATAATAATTTGATTTTTAAAATCAAATTAAAAATTTTTAAGTTTTTTAATGTTACTAAATAAAAATAAAAATTACAATTATATTTTGTAATAATTTAAATTATTTTGTAGTATATTTAGCTGATATCATCTCAATATCTAGGTACTTAACTTTTAAACAAATTCTAAAATATTTCTAAAAATCAGTGGCATTTTATATAAAAATAACTTCTAAATATATTTCATTATCGGTAAAAAAACGTGTTAGCCATGACAGCTTTGCTAAATTTGATTTTGATATTCCAAGAATTAAAGAAAAATAAATTTCATTTTTGGTGAAATAGGATTTTTTTCTTAAAAATTTGAACGCAATGAATTGCTTTTGGTTTTTCATAGTCGATCACATCATCATAAAACCAACCACGAACTTAACTCCAAAATAGCGTGTTTTAGGTTTATTAATTAAATCAAATTGCAAAATATGTTAGATAAATTTTCTTTTAACGAAATTACGTGAATTGAACGTGTTAAAATTGTTTTAAATATTAGCTAATAATACAATATGATTAATAATTAAAAGAAACTATTTTTTTGTAATAATAAATTTAAAACTTATTTTTCTAGTAGCACAACAAATATAATATTAGGAATAATACTTAAAAAACATAAACCAAACAAAAAAAAAAAGAAAAATTATCACATGCAATAAGACAATCAAGATTTTAATACATATAAAAATATGTTAGGAGTTAATATTGTACACGAATTCTGTCCAAAAATCTCATAATGTCATTAAGACTTTAATATCAATCTCATATTATAATGAACTTTTATTCAATTATCTATTGCCTATTTTTAATCTGAGATAAACAGACCTGAAAGAAAGATTTTAGTGCTATAGTTGCTAATAATACCAGCCGCTCTATTCTTAAAACGTACACCGCACTTTAAAAGCGGTTCAAAGTAGCACTTTAGGTTCAAATTTTAAGCGCAGTTAAAGTTCTTTAAGCATAGCGAAAGCAAAGTGCTTACATCCAATTATATAGCATTAGATATCTTTGCAATAATACTTTTGAGAGAGCATTGCTTTTTACTACTTCTTCAAATCTGATTAATAGTGATATAATAGCTGTAATATAAATATCATATATCAATTATATAAAAAAATTTATATAAAATAAATAAATATAGAGTACTGTTTTATAAAAATAAAATTAAGTATATGTGAATGAAAATTGTTGATACTAAAACTCCGGTTTAATCAGTTCTGTATTTAAAATGTTAAACCAAGAACATTTTCTAAATAATTAACACTTTCACTTTAAATTGGATAAAACGTTATGATATCATTCAAATGTAAAGATGTTAGTCTGATTGTTCCTGCCATACTTGCTTTGATCACTGCCTGGCATATGCTCAAGATAAGTTAAGCATTCTCAAAACTTATTTTTAAAGAGTCAAATCTTATTCTACTGCAGAACCTGTCCTTAAGAAGCATCTTAATGGTTTTAAACCATTTAAGTTTTGCACTACACTACAAGGAATCGCTATGATACGCGTTATAACCTAATCAAACCTACTTTCTAGATTTTTTAAATGATATATACATTATTCTCCTTGTTAGTTACATACCTCTTTTGAGCATAATAAATTTGTCTCCCTTAAATACAACAAAAAAATATTACTTATGTTAATGTAAAATTAAAATTACTGAATTATATGTATATCATTTTCAACATTTTCAGTTCTATCATTATATTATTATCATTAAAATGATAATATTATTATCATTACATTATTATATGATAATATTATTATTATTTTCTATTCAACTTTCCATAATTCTGTTCTGATAATTATCAATATGTATAGACAAGAAAAGCATAACGTGCAATGCTCAAGCAGCAATGCTCATCGACAAGCACTAGGAAATTATAAAAACAATTTTTGTTCAAATGTACATAAAAAAATAAACTGTTATAACTTAAACTGTTTAATAATTGAGAGTATTTTTCAAACATGTTAGCACTTTTGGTCTTTGTTTAATGTATGTAGTTTTACATAGCAAAATAATAACTAAATGTTGATACTGAATGCAAAATATTAACTTAAAACAACCATAAAAAAGTATTTAAACTGCAACAAACATTTAATTGCAAAAAATAAATCATAAAAGTGTACTTTTATTAGTTGAACCGGAAAATTATTGCATAGAAAGATTAAATCTAATTTAAGATTTTACAAAAAAAATGTTAGATTACTTAAAACGTAAACGTAAAACGTAATGTTGCTGTAAACTTCTAACAAAAATACTATTCGATATAATCGACCTTAAACTACTTTTATATTTGCATAATACTTAAACTGCTTTATATTTATACTTTTGGTAAAAGATGAACAAATCGTTCGTTTTTAAGTACAAATTCCAAAACTTTAAGCCAATTAAACGCATTAATTATTAAAATAACAATTAGTTAAGCATTTAATGCATAACCAAGCCAATTTGTTTTTCCATTCTTTATTGTATGGAAATAAAAAAAAAATTATTGGTAAAGCAAAAAAAAACGGCTCTAACTTACCGAATGCCAACAACAGACCAAGCCAATGGACCACAACCACAATTCTTTTCATTGCTGCCAACTCTTGGGTTTTGCTAAAAACTGTATCAATTTTTTTGTATCTTTTCGGAGCTTTGAACTTTTTCTGCCGCGTTTTTGTAGTTTGAACTTGAATCTGTATTTTCCCAATTTATTTATTTCACTGTTGTGCTTATATACTTTATATTTCCATTCTTTTATTATACATTATTAACGTATTTTTATTTACACTTAACACAAAGTTTCCTTAAAAAAATTTCAACTTACGGTAAGATTTCAATAACCTTTGATGGTTGCTATTGCATATGTAAAAACAGTATAGTGCACTATAGTTTTATTTATTTCATATTTTATATTATAAGCCAATATAATTAATAACTTTTGCTTTTTATTTAATTGGTTTATATATCAAAATTTGCATTCTCAATTTTAGTTTAAAATATGAAATTTGAGGAAAGAAAGTCAGAGGTAATTAAAATAAAAATTCGTAGCCTTTTGGCTCTTTTGTTTAAACAAATTCTTTGTTATTTAAAAGTAAAAAAAAAACTTATTAATATTTATGAATATATTGAAATCATAAACTTTTAACTTACAATAAAAATATATAAAAATTTTTGAATGCTTATAAAATTTGCATTTAACAACATCTTGAGATACTTTTTGCTTGGAAAGTAGCAACACCACTTTTACTACAACACCCGACGGTTGCGGGTGAATGAAACCAATTTTTTGGTTTTTAAAACAATTAAGAGTTTATATGAAAATATATTTTAATATCATAAAATGCTTTAATTGATTTTATTTTACATTAAAACCATAAAATTATCAAAAAAAACCTTTGCTTTGAGATTTTTGAAAATATATTTTTCCAATAAAAATTAAAAAATACGATAAATGTTAACATTTCTGATTAAAATTTAACTTTAAAAATTTTATTTTGTTTATAAATTCTTGAATATTAATATTCGTTGAATTTTAATATATCTTTATTTATTTATATTTAATACTGTACAAAACTTTAATTATTCATGTTCTTTATGACTTTGCTTTGATTCAGTTATTGTCAGTTTGTGAATAATTTATTATTATTATTAATATATCAGATATATATAATTTTATTCATTATAATTCAAATTCACACCACTTAGCGAAAAAAATATAAATAACAGTTGCAAATCTTGTATGCAAATATTTAGAATTTGAAATCACAAAGACTGACTGACTTATTTCCTCAAGTTTTTGAATGAATAGAGATATTGTTATTGATATTGTTATACTAATTAAAAGAAATCATATTTTAAACTAAATATATATATTACATTTTTTCTTTTATTATAATTAATATATGCAACAATAACAACAAAGTTATTTGTTTGTATGCCAAATCCGCTTATAGTTTTTATTGTTTTACCCAATTGAGGTGATTTTTTAAAATCAATTTTGAGAAATATTTTTGGGGGTTATTCCAAATCTTTTCCACTCTTATTTGTCATTAAGCAAATTTTTTTAGTAATTAATTATAAAGTTAAGATTCCTATTATTTTTTTTTACATTTTACATAAATAGAAACAATTCATAGAATAGTATTTGATAATTTGCTTTACAATTGAATGATATTTTTCACCATACTAAATTATAATTAATTGCAAAACTAAGTTTTTATACTATTAAAAATTTTTATTTTAAAATAAAATTTTTTATTTATTAATTATATCATTTTAATTTATGTTAACATTATATTTTTTATTCATTTATTTACTTATTAATTTTTTTTTTAATTTTTTAATTCATTATTTTTTATTTATTTATTTATTTTTAATTTTTAAATTTATTACTAGAGTAATTATTGCTCTACAGTTCTGTTTTAAAACTTCATTTTTATTTATATTTTTATTTTTTATACAAATATTTCATTATTTTTAATTTAGTTAGTATTAGTTTTTAATATAAATTATTATTGAAATTAATATTATAATAAAAAGATTAATTTTAATTTAATATTAATTTTTAATTTGTTTATTTTAATTAATTTGTGATTTTTATTTGTTTTTGTTTTATTTTTATTTTTTTCTTCTTTTGTTTTTATTTTGTTTCTATTATTTTTTTAATAATTTTGTAATTATTTTAATTATATATTTCTGTTTTTAAATAAGTTTATATAATTTTATATATTCTTTTTATTTTGTAATTTTTTTGTGTTTTCATTATAATATATGTTATAACCATACCCATTTATTTTCTAGTTTTCATATTGTTTGTCCTATAATTTTAATTTTTATTTAAATTTTCTTAATTTCATACATTCTAAAGTCCTGACTTTTTGAATTACTAAATAATTATTTCAAAATTTATAGTAATTCTTAAATCTTGTTATTAATTTTACCAAAAAGTTATCAAATTCTTAAAAACTTTTTCAGAATTTTTAGTAAGTTATAGAGTTACTGTTTGAAACAAATTTTTATTTTTTTTTAATTCTAAATTTTTCACTTATAATCACCAAATTAAAAGTTCATTTTTTTTTCTCTGATAATAATAATAATTATTAATAATATTAACGCATTTTTCTTTTCGGTTTTAAATTTTAAAAATAATAATTTATTCTATATAATAAACCGCATTTCATATTCGATGCTTAAAATTCGAACTGTATTTTATTAATTAAATTATTTGTTCTTAATGTAATCCAAAGTAATTATTTTAAATAGATAACCAGTTATATATGATATTTTTATATCATATGTAAATATTTTATTTTTTTTAATATTAAATAATTATGCTTTATTTTTTAATGAACTGTACTTCAATTATTTATTTTGTTAAATATTTTTATTGTTATGTATTAACACACCATATATAGACTTCTAGTTAATTATCACAACACTATATATAAATTTTACTAAAATTAAACGGTTTTATTTTGCGTTAATTTACTTTACGTGTTTTCATTTCAACGCTCAAATCTAAACTGTTTTTAAAGTTGAACTTCAATAAACAATTTTAAGCCAAGCTTCGACTAAAAACTACCAAAACCTATTGAAAGTAAAGCTGCTTCTGGTGAGTAAGTAGAAAAACAAGTAAGTCCATTTCTCACTCTACAAAGAGTAGTAACTCCATACAGATTAGTCTAAGCTAGGCTTGTTAGCGAAAACTGCTTTATCGACTTGATTGTGTTTAACACGTGCTTCTTAGTTGTTGTTACTCTGAAACCGGCAAATTCGCAAACTTTGTTTATACCATTCAACTCTCTGTTTACATTCCAAACTTGGCTTAAAGTCAAGCACTTTTATTGTTAGCTTAGATACTCTCTGTTTCATTACCTATCGGGCATGGTTCGCGGCGCTTTAAATTTTATTTCATTTATTTTTATTATCGTCTTTGTTTATTTGTTTGTTGTTAATTTTTTTTTTTTAATATGCAGATACTTTCTGCACTGAGTTATTTTTTCTATTGGAAACAGTTGTAGATATTTCTGTATCTCTAAATAACAATCATATTGCGAGCTATATTAATGAAGACATTTATGACGTTGTTCGTTTTATTTTATTGAAGTTTAGTGTTGTTTTACAATAACGATAATAGTAAAACATATATGATAAATATTAATATTTCTTACTAATTATATTTACTGTATGTTTTATATCTTAAAGATGCATTAACCTTCTCATATATTCATATTCAATATATGTTCATAACGATAGTTAAAGCATTATATATAATATTTTATTTTAAGCAAATATTATTTGCCTTTTACAGTTCGTACTGTTGTTAGCAAGGACAAGCGTATCAAATCATATTTGCAAATTATGTAGTAATAAATTTAATTAATTAAATTTTTTTTTGAGTTATTACTACTAATTGTCTATACGGATAAATTTACTGATTGTTTATTTTGATTTGATTTATTATTTGAATTTAAACAATTTATTATTTTCTATACAATTTTATTTTATTAGTTTCTTTTTGATTTTCAGGATTTATATTTTTGATTTGTTTATACTAATTATTATTTTAATGATGTTTTTAAATGTTTTTGGGAAATTATTAAATTGTTGACTTTATTTATTATTATAAAAATGATTAAAAAAATTTTATATTCATCTATTATAATCGATAGTAATATTTTTTTGTAAGGGTATGTGTAGCTACCTGAATCCTTGAAATAATAAACAGAAGTTTATGAAGTTGTACAAAGTTAGGATCATTTAAGACCTCTATTGATTATTTTTGCAATAAAAAATATGCAAAATTATCATTGAATTACCAATACTAAAACACGTACAATGTTGACAAGTTGATCTAATAAAACAAAATTATTGTACTCTTCGGAAGAATAATGTGAGTGTAATGTATGGTTCTCCTTAGAGGCCGATCTAGAGATCGGTAAGAAAAAGAGTGACATTAAGAACAGAGAATATACGACTGTATCTTTTTCATTAATTCATTTAGAAATTGAGGGAAAATTATGTATTCAATCAATAACATACTTTAGAAGCATAAAACAAATAAAATCACACAGAGAAATAGTTTTTAATTTTTGAATCAGTAAAGCTTAAATAGTAAGTAGAAGTAGTATTTCAAGAAAGAGAAGAGCGCAGAAGTATTTGAAAAATACAACTGTCATAAATTAATATCTACAGAGAATATTTTACACTGGTCTGATGACTCAAAATATGAAAGAAAATGGAACTGTATCAGTCACACTCTCAGAAAACTATTTACTAATGTTATTTGGCAAGGAGAAACATAAAACACGAGTTAAGAAATGCATAGTATTAATAAGACGACATCAGGCCTTTTCTTTTGTAAGCATATCACAAAAGAACAACCGCTTATTTTAAAAATAACATATAAAACAACAACACTGCTCGTTTATTTAATCCAAATATTTTGAAGTTGCTTACCTAATAAGCGGTTTCACTCATTGTTAAGAGATTAACGTATTGCTGGCATGAGGTTTATTAAGATATATTTATTATTTTATAATTTTTTTTGTTTTTTTTTTTAAGTTACTGTTTTTAACTACTTTTATCCTTTATATTTTAAATAATGTTTTAGTAATTAGCACAAAATGACTTTCACTTTCGCTAGATCTTAGTTATATTGCTTTATAAAATATATATTATAAAATCACTTGACAACAA